GGCGCGGGCGCCGCTGCTCCCCTTCCCTCCCTCCCAGGCGCCCAAGCCTGGGAGGGAGGTGGAGCAGCGGCGTGTGAAACGGCCTCTTGGGATCTCCCCCTCCCTCCCAGGTTTGAGAGCCTGGGAGGGAGGGCGAGTAGCGGCGTGCGAATCAGCTGTTTCGCGCGCCGTGGCAGCAGCAGCGGAGGTGAGCTAGGGCGGCCGGGGCACATTTTTAGGGGCGACATTCTGGCGCCGGCCATGCCGCCCCTAAAAATGTGCCGCCCCAAGCACCAGCTTGTTTTGCTGGTGCCTAGAGCCGGCCCTGCAGAAGACTGCAAGGGAGATATACCCCTTGCCTGTGGTTGCTGAGTCATGTGACCTTACCTTGGAAAAGCACCATGGGTGGCTTAGGGGAGAACTGATTTTTAATGCAGGGATAGGGAATTGGGTGTTAGGGGTTCGATTCCCAGCAGTGCCACTGCTTCACACTGTAACCATGGCCCAGTCGGTGCCTCAGTTTCCCCGCCTGTAAAATGGCTACTGCGGGGCTCAATTAATGTCCGTAAAGTGCTTCCAGACCCTTGGATGACAGGTGCAATAGAAGGGTCAACGGTTATTATTTAAAGGCTCACAGGTTGCATGAGGGAAGCCTCAGAAGAGATGGACCTATGGGCAGAAACGGTGCTAATGGAAACGAACGAAGCAGCAAAAAGCTCCAGGGCTTTTCACCCCTCCTTCAGTCTTTCCATGTTTCCTCCAGAGAGGATGGACTCTCAGCAGAGGGGAAAGCAAAGGATGAGAGGGGAGAAGGTCTCCCAGTCTTTGCAAGGACAAGGGGAGATCAGCCTGGCCTATGCGTTGGCATGAAATACCATCGAGCTGGCACTAAGTACAACAGGAGTAAGAAAGGGCAGGTTAAAAAAAGTGTACTTAAATGGATGGGAGAGACCCACGATTATTTCCCCCACCCAAGCCCTAAATCTCATGGATGGGTGTGACAGACAGGGGCTCGCCACCAGACGTGCCAAGACCTCACACTAACGTACAGGAGACTCCGTAACACACAGTGCACACTGCAACCTACGTTTCCATACCACTGCAAACTCGGCATGGAGCCTCTGAGCCAACTACACCCCTGCTGTAAGGCCACTGACGTCTACGGAGATACACCAGGGAGGAATTTGGACACTTGCTTTTAGATGCATGAGGCTAGTGAACAGGAAGAAACACACAGTCAGCTTCCATTACACCCAGATGACACCACTCTAAATAAGGACAGAATTTAGATCATGGGACTCTATTTCCTACAAAAGCTAACCCAAGATTGTAATCAGAATCCAATACCCCCAGCTTCTCTCTACTCATCTCTGTATCTAGGAGGGCTAGGGTCTATCATTCACCAGTCCAGGGGGCTTCTTTCACACAGTGCATTGAAAATTAAAATCCTGGGGCTGGAGCTTGCTCACAGTTACCCAGTTGCAAATCAGGAACGACTTCAGGGGTCACTCCTGATCTACACCAGCGTCACCCTGCTCAAATTCTGGCCTGTGGACATGGCACATGCTCACACACCTGAAATCGTGGTTGCACCGGAGGTCCTGTGCCACTTTGGATGGAGTAACACTGTATAATAAGTGGGTGTGCTCACTGCAGCTCAGTTTAGAATGAGATCCCACCCCACCCTGACATGACTCATGGACATATTCCCCATGTGTGTTGAACCAACATCCGTAGTAACACAACAGATACCAAAGGGTCAGCTAGTTGCTGGCGCTCACTGTAAAGTGTTGTCCACTCAAGATGCGTCTCCGCTGGGTAAAAAATGTCCACTAAAGCTGAGCTCTGAGTGTCTCCAGAGCTACAAACCCAAAGGAGGTGCCACGACCACCACCCCATCAGGTGATGGCTGTCCATCGGGCTATGAACATGGGTGGTCAAATGTGATCAATGGAATAAGAGCCATCTCTTCTCCTAACTAGGGGAAAACCAAGAGGAGGGGGAAGAACTCCAGGTTATAAGAGGAAACGTCTTTGGCTGTCACCTCATTTTGTATCCCTTCTCTGTACTCCCGACGCTTGGAAACCAAGAGACGCTTGGTTTGGTCTCCAATTTTCTCTCTCTGGAAACACACCCATCAAATTTATTGCAGTGTCTTCTTGTTTTGTTTTGTTTTTTCACAAGGGCAGCTGAAAAGGAATCCTGCATGATTGGAATTGCTGAGAGGGAAATCCAGGGCCCTCCCACGATCCCTTCTTCCCAGCCTTGCCTGGGAAATGGCTGCTTACTTGCTAACATTCTAGGAAGGGTTTCTTCTTTTTTTCCTTTTTGTTCCACAAATGGACAGGATCCATTCCCCAGTTGCCTCCTCTCCTAGGCGCTGGGGGTGGCGGGGTGGGGTGAGGGCTGGTGGGTGGCCATCACAGTTCAGATTCAGGGGTGCTGGCCAAGTGGTACCCACTTCCATAGCGTCCGTTGGGTGCACTGCTCATCTCCATTGGGGAAGCGTTTCCCGGGCCCAGGTAGGAACGGTGCATGGGCATCGGGGACGGGGTCTCGCTGGGCACTTTGCTCAAGATGAAGCGAGTCTCATCATTGTCCTCCAGGTTGGAGATGTCCTTCATCATCCGGCCCTTCTTGTAGGTGACGGAGAGGGCGTTGGAGCCATCGGACACCAGGTGGAACTGACGGAGGATGAAGACCACGGGCAGTGGGAGGGTGGCCAGGATGATGAGACAGATGAGGATGGCCATAGCCCACATTGGGTAATAGAGAAACTTCTCTGTAGCCTGGAAGAGAAAGAGGCAGCTTCATTACAGTGGACATGAGTGTCTACACCTCCATGAAGGCACATGGGCAGATGACAGGAGTTAAGTCAAGGTCATTGAGGTCTTGGTCCTCCAGGTCCTAGAGAGGACCAGGACATGGTGTATAGGGGAACTTAATAAAGGGAGGCAGGAGGCCACTGTCTAGCTCTCTGCCGATTCACCTGATGTCTGAGGGAAGGGGGTACAGAGAGATCCATCTACTGTAGGTGTGCTTATCACGAAGGAAAACTTTCCCAGAGTCTGGTTGTCCCTCACCCATCGTCTCCTGCCAACTGTGTGGTCTACATAAGAAGGAAAGGGCAGTTTGGAGCTTCAGGGATGGAGGTGGAGGTGGACAGGAAGTCAATTACCAAACACTGTGGAAGCAGAGAATTCCCAGCTGCTAACCTGGAACCAAACCTTCACTCAGTGTTTACCCAGACATTACGCAGGCAGACTTCCCATGAGGAAGGTAAGGACCGAGTGAAAACTGAGTAAGGGCCTCAGGGTTGGAACTGTGGAGGAGAGGACTCACTAAAAGCTGGTATTCCTGTACTCACCTCCTCTCTGATCCAAGCGCTGTAGCCCGGTGGGTTGACTCCCAGCTGGATGATGCTGGCTGTCATTAGCACAGCCATGCAGAGGGGAGAGACGTACTTCCAGGTGTAGAAGTAGAAGATGTACGGCCGGAAGCCCAGCATTTCTGTCAGTTCCTGCATGAACCTGGAGAGAAAGGAGAGGAAATCCAAATGGATGGAGCACAAGAGTCCTGCCTTCTCCTTTCTCACCACTTCAGATGGAAAACTCCTACCCAGGAACCGCCTCGGTGAACTAAGCATTGCGAGCAGCGGCACCGGAGGCAGCAAACAGGGCGGCTAACAGGGGAGTTTGAGAGGGAGTTTGCAGGGGGAGGTAAAGGGGGAGGCAGGAGGGCGCGGTGTGGTGTGTGCTCTGAGTCCACAGGCGCTGTGGGCAGAGAATACAGCAGCCATGAGCCAAGCAGCAGCAGCAGACAGAATGCAGATGG